CGTACCTGGGCTGCCGGATCGACCGCGGCCTTACAATGGGCGAACAAGTCCGCCACGCCATCAGCCGCGCCAAGATGGCGCGGGCACTCCTGCGCCCAGTACTACATTCTAGGCTGCCACTCCACACCAAGAAAACAATTTACATGATGTACATCCGCCCCCACCTCACATACGCGTTGCCCGCGTGGTACGCGCTGCTGTCGAAGACGGCGCGCCGGAGACTCGAAGCCCAGCAACACATTACTCTTCGAGTCATCACGGGGGCCGGGCGCTACGTCAGTAATGACGTCATCGCCCGTGACCTCGCGGTTGAACCGGTGGAGGAGTTCGTAAGAGGTATGGCGCGGCGGATGTTCGATCGCGCCGACCACGGTCGCCATTTACACCTCCACAAGATCGCCCCCGCCCTCCCAAGCGAGAACCAGCCACCTAGACCGCTACCGCGCTCACTACTTTCTCCCCCCCCCTTCACCCACTAAACAGCTACAGCCGCGACCGCAGCCGCGGGCCTTGCCGCAATCTGCACCGACGATGCCGGCGGCCCCCAAGCCGCGACTCACCACGCGTGCCGCGGACGACACGCGGCCGCGCGTAGAGACACGCCCATCGCCCCTCCCTCGGGCCAGAAGCCCGATCGCGGTCATGCCGTCCACCCTTACCGACGCACGCATCGACGCACGCGTTGAAGAGGGAGTCGGAAACGTGGACGGCATAGCTACGGACCAGCCTAACAACCCTGGAATTCTACCACGATCCAGCTCCGTCGCAGTGGACCCGCAGGAGGCCGCGCGTGCGTTCACTGCGATGCTGGCTGGCCGCCGGCCCCACTGGAGAACTCGACGCCGAGGCCAGCATAGTAACATCGTAATAGCGAGAGAGCTCTTTCCGAGAAGTGTTCTAGCGCCCGCCACCACAAATGAAGATGTTCCACCCTATTCTACCGAAGACTTCCCCGGCTCCAATACACCACCACCAATGGGTCCCTCCCCACCGGGCCATCTCCCGCAACCTCGACCTGACCGCTCGCAGGCAGCTTCCCGGGCTTCCACCCGGGGGGCGAAGACCGCGCCGAGGTCCGAACCGAGGAACGGGGGATGACTCACCGCCAAGGGCATAAACTAAGCCCTGTCTGCGTGTTCCCAAAAAAAAAAAAAAAAAACAAAACAAAAAAAAAAAAAAAAAAAAAACAGGAACCGCAGACGAAAATGGACCCTGGGGGAATCAAACCCCACGAGAAGAGGCCCGGGGAAAGAATAACATTCAAACCCGAACCGTTCCCAGTAGAACGAGGAAAACAACGACGACGTTCGCCAACTATATGGTCAGGTCGTATTTGGTTCCCACCATACAAATGGTCTTCTACGTAATACTACGTACTCGGCTTCCCGTTTAAAAATGTCATGTGTGGTGCCTACTACGCAATATTACGTATACGCAACATTACGTAGGTTGGCACCCTTAATAATATTATTTATTCTGGACGCCTACCTACGCAATATTGCGTATACGCAAAATTGCGAACGATCGGCACCTTATCCCAACTATCATCCTCCCTCTCATCTTCTGTCTCTTTTTCACCTAGATCACGCCATAATACTCAATCTATTGCATCATACTTAGTGTCGCGCGGTGCGTGCAGTGAGATTCACGTCGCGTCGCATTAGGTTGATTTGTCGCCATGCCACGTGGACGCGGATTGAATCGGCGTATTTTACGTGGTTGTCGGAAAATACGTTCAGGGCGACCGCTACAAAATCATGAAATTGCTGCCGTTCTTTATGAAGAAGACTCGTCAGATAATGGGGATTTTTCTCCGGGGTCCGGAGACGATTATGATCCTGAGCAAGATGAAAATCAAAATGTTTCATCGGAAAGTGATTCGTCTTCTGATCCCGATGAAGACGGACCATCATCAGTGCCGTCACCACCGCCTGGAGTCGAAGGGCCATCATGTGATCCAGAATTTCAGTGGAAAATGGATTCAGCAAGACCACAACGATTTCTGTTTTTAGGGGAACCAGGTATAAAGACCAATTTTACTTCCTCGGCGAGTGCCTTGGCTGATATATTTTTTTCTGAAGCTTTTTTGGGTTCTATAGTGCAAGCAACTAATAATTACGCTCATCGCATGGCTGGTCCTTTACAAAAACATGCACGGTTTAGATACTGGAAAGACACCAATATCTTGGAAATGCGCAAGTTCGTTGGTATGTTGCTATATATGGGATTGACTAGGTTACCTACAATTGCTCATTACTGGAAGATAGATCAACTGTACAACTTGCCACTTTTTAGACAAATCATGAGTAGAAATCGATTTCAAATATTGCTGCGATATTTTCACTTTTCTGAGAACGATGACACATCTACATCAAGGCTTCATAAAATACAACCGATACTAGACAGATTCAATAATATTATGGCTGATCTCTACTATCCCGAAGCTAATCTGAGTATTGACGAATCGATGGTTCTGTGGAGAGGAAGATTGGTTTTCCGGCAGTATATCAAGAATAAAAAACATAAATACGGTGTAAAATTATATGAACTTTGCGAGTCTTCGGGGATAGTCATGAAAATACGTATTTACAAAGGGAAAAATGAACGACCACCACCTGGTGTTCTGCACAGCACGGAAGTTATACTAGATCTAATGGATGGGTATTTAGAAAAAGGTCACACAATATACGCAGACAATTTTTACAACTCCCCGGATTTAACTAGGCGTCTTAGCGAAAAAAAGACATATATATGTGGTACACTTCGGAAAATGCGCAAAAATCTTCCTAAAGATGTCACCAACGCCAAGCTGAAGCGTGGAGAGTTAGCTGCTAAAAGTTGCAACGATATCACTGTTTGCAAATGGAAAGATAAACGTGACGTTATGGTAATTTCAAATAAACACAAACTTCAGCTTGTGAACGTTAGGAACAGAAACGGAAAAGTCTCACTGAAACCTAACATTGTTGCGGACTATAATTTGGGCATGTCTGGTATTGATAGAGGGGACCAGATGGTCTCGTATTACTCTTGCCTCAGAAAGACGCTCAGATGGCATAAAAAATTAGCACTGCACATCTTTGAGGTTTACGTACAGAATGCGCACAGATTGCTACGTTTGAAAGACTGCACATCCAAAATACGGCTCCTAAAGTTTCGGGAAGATTTTGTAAAATATCTACTGGGACTGAACTGTGGCGATATTACTCCCGCAGCTGCAGAAGTACCTGGACCAAATATACCGCGAGTTCAGCCTGAACAAGATCAAGCAAACCCAACTCTGCCTCTGCTGCCTGGGCCAGATGTACCACCTGCATCCCCAGCTGTTCATAAAAGTCGTGTCCCATTGAGAAATTTTCATTACCTAGAAAAGCTCCCGCCTACTGCCAAAAAGGCTGTGCCAGCGAAGCCTTGTCGTGTCTGCACGAAAAATAAAAAACGAAAAGAGTCATCTTTCGTTTGTGCCACTTGCCCGGAAAAGCCTGCCTTGTGTGTTGTCAACTGTTTTTACACTTACCACACTGATCCTCGTTTTGCATAATTTTATTTCAAAATGTTGTTCGTAGAAGTTCCTGTTTATTTTTATATAATTATCGATCTCATTATGGATCTCATTGGATGCCTAAAAAACTATTTTTATGTCATTATAAAACTTCACTTTTCGGCCTCAAAGTGCCTAAGAATATTTGTAATTTGAAAAGTTTTCAAATAATAAAGTTACTTTTTTTCTATGTCTTATTTTATTTGAGATGCCAACGAACCTAAAAACGTCTTTTGCAGGAGGCCTAATAACACAAATACTCATTTAAACTGTAAGAAAGTCCTACGTTGTATTACGTAGTTGGCCCCTGAGCATCACTAGTACTACGCAATATTGCGTAGTTGGCAGGCAGTGTGTGATGGGGTTTCATCAGACAGAATCACTAACTACGACGAAACGAATCTTACCGATGATCTTGGTATCAAGAAGTTCATTTGTAAGCGAGATTCTTTTAAGTATAAATAATGATATCTCAATTTTAAGGTACGTTGCCAACGTTGGATAAAATTCTTCAAAAAATAATGCAGGTAAAAGATATGGTTCTGTTATGATATGATTGCAGCAAATTTTGAGGAATGGTTTGAGGGGGTTGTTAATCAATTACAACCTAATGACGTTATAGTCATGGATAATGCCAGTTATCATTCCAGGTATCTATAAAATTCCATTATACGTAAAATACAGACCCAAAAAATCACACAACATACCAAAGTATTTATTTTAAATTCGTAATTTTATTTCAGACGAATTGAAAAAACACCCACATCATCTTGGAGAAAACAAGAAATTATACGATAGATTGGTGGAATGAAAAAAACATTTCTTTCAACGAAAGTGATACTAAAGCACATTTGCTTATAATAGTTCAATCGGTCAAAGAAAATTATTTAAAATATGTTACCGATGAGATGGCAAAAGAGGCGGCAGTTACGGTTGCCTCCACACCATTGTGAGCTCAATCCGATAAAGCTTGTGTGGGCCGACTTAAAAGGATATGTTGCTCGACACAATACCACATTCAAACTGTCGGATGCAAAAGTGTTATTTAACGATGCAATAAAACAAATGACTCCCGATAAATGGAGGAATTGTGTCGAGCACATAAAAAGAAGAGGTAAAGATGAGGGGACTGGATCATCATATAGACAGAACTGTGGATAATTTTATTATAAATGTCTCCAGTTTTGAAAGTTCTGAAACTGAAACATCAGATACAGATGCATCAGTCAATTAGGAAATGCTAATGTTTTTTCCATTTCCTAATCAAATGATGGTATAGACGTTCTTTTTATAATTTGTATCAATTAAAATTTTTTTTTTTTTAAGACGCCGCCTCATTTCAACCTTCGTAGTTTTTCATAAAGTAGAGTTAAACTGTTACTGTAAAATAAACCGTTTGTACTGCCGAACTAAAATAGTGAAGAGATTCAGGGCACCTAATTTCTCAATTGCTGAAGTAATGTACCTTTTAAAATTAGTGGAGAAATATCCTATTATAGAAAACAAGATAACAGATGGGGCTACAACAAAAGATAAGCAATTGGCTTGGCAAAACTTAGCTGCTGAGTACAACTCGCAAACAAATCTTTGCCCTAGGACGTCTGAAAATTTGATGTCACGTTATAAAAATCAAAAAATCGAAGTAAAAAAAATGCACTCCAATGAAAAAATGGCCATCAAAGGTGAGTTTTCAATCTGTAGAATGATAAATAAACTATTAATAATCATATAAATGTTTAATTGTGAATGCTTAGTTAATCGAATGTTATGATAATAATTTTAACTACAAATTATTTATATTTATTTTAGCACCATTATTACTGAATGCTGTGGAAGAGTATGGCCAGGATTGGGATCGAGTAGCGCAAGCAATTGAGACGAGCAGTTCTGACAGTCAAAATACATTCGAACAGTTGGTGAAGGAGTCAAAAAGAGAAGATGATTTATACGAGGGTCAAACTGAAAGTTCTTAGAAAATCAAAAACTGATTACATTAGCCAGTTATTAGTTTTATTATATCTTTTCAAAATATTGTCCATTCACGTCAATACACCGCTGCATGCGATGGAACCACTGGGAAAAGCACTTTGCCCACTCGTCCTTAGGGGTCTCTTCAATGGCATCGCGATACGCAGCCACCGCTTCTTCAGCATTCATAAACCGCTTTCCTTTAAGTTTTTCTTTAATTTTTGGAAATAAATAAAAATCACAAGGCGCGAGGTCGGGGCTATACGGCGGGTGACCCAGTAATTCAACGTTTGATGTCGCCAAATAGTCGATCGTTCGCTTGGCGGTGTGCGACGAGGCGTTGTCGTGGTGAAGGAGGATCCTACTGCGAGGTCGTTTCTCTCGAACTTTTTCCAAGACAAGTGGCAAACAATTGGTAGTGTACCATTCTGCAGAAACTGTTTTTTGATCCTCTAACACAATTGTTGCAAAATGACCTATCCTTCCAAAGAACGAGGCCACCATTTTATTTCCCGCACTTCGATCTCTCTTCACTTTAGTTGGCAACTCCTCGAAAGGAAACACCCACTGAGCAGATTGTCTTTTGGTTTTAGGATCATAACAGTAAATCCAGCTTTCGTCACCTGTTAGTATGTCGAACACAGCATTTGAGTCACCTCCGTTAAATCTTTCAATCATTTTACGACACCAATCCACACGATGGAGTTTTCGAGCCTCAGTCAAATTATGAGGTATCCACCGGGCGCAAAGCTTCCTGACCGCTAAATGTTCGTGGAGGATTTTGTGCACTTGACTCATACCGATGCCTAAGCTTGTCCGAATCTGTTGATAGGTCACTGTTTTGTCAGTCTCTATCATACGCCGCACAACACAGATGTTATCTTCAGTCGTCGCCGTAGAAGGCCGTCCCTCACGTAAATCATCAGTGAGATTAGTGCGACCACGTTTAAACTCATTAAACCAGTTGTAAACAGTCGCACGAGATGGGGCTTCATCGTGAAAGGCCAATCGTAGTCTATCATAACTTTCTTGTTGACTTAAATGACATCGAAAGTCATAAAAAATCATTGCACGAAAATTTTCTCGTGTTAAATTCATGATGACGTGACACAGACAATTTTCAATTTGCCGCCAAATCGTAAAACAAATGACAAATGAATGAAATATATACTCAGTAATATTGGCAAAGAGTTATATTTTCAAATTTTAGAATTATTTTTTTATTATATTGTTTATAAGTGGCCAGTTCTAAGAACTTTCAGTTTGACCCTCGTATAAAAACGAAATCAATCGCACAGGTATACAAAAAATAATACATATATCAGTAACATTAACAGTTAATTGAAGCCTATTTCATAGAAGTTGTTTATCTGCAGGAGGAGGTCTACCGCCGCAACCACCCCATAATAGCGATCCTGTCTACGATAAAATTAAAACTTTAATAGGCCCTTCTCTGGAAGGTTTAAACATCATATATGATGGAGACGCAAAATTCATGCAGGAGCAAAATGCGTCAACGTCTATTGATACACCTTTGAAGCCAATAGAATTAACATTAAACATTGAGAAAAGTTTGCCGCAAGTAGAACATGATAAGATTACTCATATTCTTGTGACGTATATTGAAAAAGATATGTTTTTCTAATTGCTTTATATTTATCTATAAATTGACAACTGACTGACTAAATGCTGTTTATCTACTCAACATACTATAATCCTCATATCACTACATGAACGAAATGTAAAAGCCAAGATACTTTTTATTACAAAAACAAGTACAAACGCCAATTACTCACTACGCTAAAAAGCCTGCTTAAAAAATAGAGCAACAACATTATGAACTCACATGTTTTAAGTCTTGAAGATTTACTATAAAACAGTGCTTTTCATGTTATTTTATTAGATTCTGATAGGTCGCATAAAAAATTATAAGATTTTTGATAATCAGAAATTATCAAAAATCTTATAATTTTTCATGCGTCACACGAAAAATAAGAAGAATAAAACAAGTGGTCATTATTTCATCTTGCATTGCATCAGATATTGTACTTTATTTGGTATGTAACTTAAAACCTCATTACTTTTCGTGATAGTCCGACTTGATTGAGTGACACTGTCCAAACAGCCTGGAAAGATTACTAGGTAGATTAGTACTTAATGTCTACAAAACAAGCGTTTCGCAACGTGTAGGTATTCATAGCAATAAAATTATCAACCTTGCGATTGCACTGAAAAGTACTACTACCAAAATAAAAATACCTAAGAATTTTAACGTTTATTTGGGCGTGAACCAAGCTTTCCTATTGATAAATATCCGGCGACAATTCATGTCGAACCTTATTCTCTTATCGCGATGGTCGATATTTTAATATGGCAATGGCGGAAATTGAATCTTATGTCTTTTTAGTAGTCACACGCGCTTATTGGTCAAAACGGGACAACAAGAGGTGATCAAAGAAGCCGCCTGCGCCAGTGGCTCACTGCGGTTTTTTTTTTATTTAGTTCGGTTTCTTACGTGTAAGCGATTGAAAGTGTTATTGCTCGTACGTACTCGCGAATTTCGCTATTTCTTTCAGCGATCAGTTGTGTTTTGTGTAACTGTGAGTACATTGAGTGTTGTGTTATGTGTAGTTAGGTGACCTATCACTATTGACTGGCTTAGTAGAAGATACATTGGACGACCTGCCACTAGACCAGTGGCACAATGTTTGGTACCAACACGACGGCGCGCCGCCACACATCGTGAGGCCAGTTCTTGAACGGTTAACGGAGATGTTTGGTGACCAGTGGATCGGGCGGAGGACCTCACGCATGGCCAGCACGATAGCCTGACTATTATACCACTCGATTTTGTGGGGTTACGTTAAAGATAGGGATTTCGATCGTGCTTGCGAAACCGCTGATGAAATGCGCCGAAAAATCATCGCAGTATTTGAGGACCTTAAACAGTGGGTTGTGCGTGAGGGAATTCTGGAGCGTGTGCATCAGGACATCTTGTACCGTGCTCGCATGTGTCTCCATGTGGAAGGTCGCCGAACCACACCTGGTTCGTTTGGAAAGGCCATTAGGTGATGCCGACGAACAATAGGTAAGTGGGTACCTACATAGACGGTTGTCAGTGTTATCATGTACTGTCGTTTATACACCTTTGTTTGTGTGAGCGGCCCGCGCGCACGTACGTTATGTTCACGACAATTTACTCAGATTTGTTGTGCGCGTTACATTGCGTGCCGAAATTATCGACGATTTACTCAGATTTGTTGTGCGCGTTACATTGCGTGATAAAATTATTACTATTTTTTAACATCAAAACTTTTATGTCGTTTCCCAGAATCACCGTTAGAGAAGTTGCTGAGGACCTAATGGCACGAGCCAATCCATATCATGAGACGGGTCTCCGTGAAATTCGTACCAAAATTGCTCAATTTCGACCAAAAACAGTATCGCATGAACATTGTCAATGACTCTGACCGCTACGACCCAAATTCGCTCCAGAGGAACATAACTGGTGACGAATCGTGGGTTTATGGTTATGATGTGGAAACCAAAACTCAATCATCTCAATGGAAGCTGCCTCACGAACCAAGACCGAAAAAAGTGCACCAAGTTCGGTCGAATGTGAAAGTTTTGCTTACAGTTTTCTTCGATTGCAGGGGCGTGGTGCGTCATGAGTTCTTGCCACAGGGTAGAACGGTCAATAAAGAATATTACCTGCAAATTATACGCAATTTGCGCGAAGCAATCCGCCAAAAAAGCCCCAATTTGAGGAAAAAAAAATGGCTGATGCTAAATCACGATAACGCCCCTGTTCACGCATCGTTGCTTGTGCGCGACTTTTTGGCCAAAAACAACACATTAATGATACCGCAGTCACGGTATTCCCTAGATCTGGCCCCCTGCGACTTTTTCTTGTTCCCGAAACTGAAGAGGCCCTTGAAAGGATGAGGCTACGCTACCATTGACGAGATAAAGACGGCATCGAAGGAGCTGAACAAGATAAAAAAAAATTATTTTTTCAAGTGCTTTGAAGATTGGAAAAAACGTTGGCACAAGTGTATAATTACTAGTTAATCTTTTTTTGGTAATAAAAAGGTTCTTTTTGGTAATAAAATTAATAAAAAGGTGTTCAGTGCAAAAGATTTAAAAACAATATGCCTAGAGCAGATTTTGCAACAGATTTTGAAAAAGGCACAATATAAAATATCTGAAAGATATGCACAAAATATAAAACTAGCACGCTCGAACATATCAGCAGAAACCAATAATAATTATTTTGATGAGTTGCAAAAGACACTGAAAGATGTTCCTGCAAGTAACATTATAAATTATGATGAGTCCAATTTAAATGATGACTCAGGTAGAAAATAGGTACTCGTAATTGTAAAAAGAGACTCTAAATATCCGGGACGCGCTATGAACACTATATAGTGTTCTACATCTTTAATGATGGTTGGCGGAGACGGATTCCTATTCACACCCTATGTTATTTACAAAGCCCAACATCAGTATGATTTGTGGAAAACTATGACTTTAACCTAACTTTGACTATTAAAAAAAAAACTGAAGAAACAGTTTAGCTAATAGGAGACTATCTGTCATGTCATCTTTCTCTAGATGCCATAAAAAATTATAAGGACAATAATATTAATTTAATGTTTGTAACTCCAAATACCGCCGTTGGATGTGGCTTTTTTTCGACCTCTCAAAACGGCTTGGAGAGAGATATTGCTACTTGGAAAGAAACGAGACTGACATAAAGAAAAGTCACCTCCTAAGTCAGTTTTTCCATGCCTCCTGAATGTTTATTTTCTAAAATTCAACTTAATGCTGAAACAAAGCTAGAATATATCTTTTAAACAGGCAAGACAGTTTGAGTTGTCTACCAGATTATAATCCACAAGCTGATGATATCAATATTGTAAGTGACTGTGTTACTGATATGTTAAAATCTATGAGAAACAGTGAATTAGAAGTAGCAGTTGCACTGGTGATGTCTTACCAATCGAATTTATTTGCCTGCGTTGTCTTCAAGTAAGTACAGTAGAACTCCAATTATCCGAACTCCGACTATCCGAATCGCCGATTATCCGAATCACAAAAAATTTTGATAACGCACCCACTCATCCTACAGCAGAACTGTTGGAAAGAGAGAATGGGCAGTTCAAAACGACGTTTTTGCCTCCCAATGTTACAAGTTTGCTGCAACCCATGGACCAGTCTGTTATTGAAACAATGAAGCGCCATTACAGAAGGCAACTGCTGAGAAAACTGCTGAGAAAACTGCTGAACGAAGGTGCTGAAGATGAAGAATTGGTTTTGGCAAATCATAGCAAAATAAATTTAAAGGACTGCTGTTACATGGTAGCGGAAGCTTGGAGTTTGGTTACGGCAGTGACGCTAAGACGTGCGTGGAATAAACTGAAAGGCCTACCGTCTGAGAAGAACAAAAAAAAAGAATCTGAAGAAAATGAGAAACAAGAATATGGAGAGGATGATGATGATAAAGATGCGTTGTCACTAGAGGAAATAAGAAAAATTATTGTAAAAATTCCTGGTTGTACAGAAGTAAGTGCTGAAGATGTAGGAGAGTGGATGGCTTGTGACACGTCTGACCCTGGTTTTCAAATTCTCAATGACGATGAAATTGTTGTAAGTGTGAGAGAAGATGTTGAAGTGGAAGTGGAAGAAGAACTTCCTGCTGATGTTGAAGTAGACGCTGGACCATCAGCTAGTGAAGCATTTGCCGGCCTCGAGACTGCTTTGAAGTGGATGGAGCGTCAGCCCGAGTGTGACCACTTGCAACTGCTCACCGTCAAGCGAATGCGTGACCTGGCTGCCCGAAAACGGTTGAAGACCGCAAAACAGCTTACATTGACGGAGATGTTTAAAAAACAATGATTTTTATTTCTAAACTTGTACATAAGTACATTTTATTTATATTTAAAACAAGTGAAAATTTCATGTTTCTTTCATTTAATTCAATAAAAAAATAGTGCAATATCAAAACGTAGCTTTTATTCTCTCCAATGGCAATTTTTTTTTTTTAAATCCGATCATCCGAATATTTGATTATCCGAATGGGTCCCGGTCCCCATTAATTCGGATAATTGGAGTTCTACTGTAATGATGATGGTGCTGAAGACAAAGATTACTATGCAGTGAAATCTATCGATAGTGCCTATGATGAAAAGAGGTTTATCATCAGAATAACCAAATAATGATAAATAATTTAATAATTTATATTTCTATCAATATTATGATCTCTTGTTGTTTACCAACTGATTGTATGTTAATTTAATTAAATATTATTTTGACTTTATAAAGGTCAAAAATAATATTTATTTTTTAATATTAAAAAGAAATGTTTTGAAGTTGAAATATTGTTGTTATTCACCCCATTTTGCTGCATGCATTTGATGTAGATGTCAACGATCACATTTTTATCATAATTTTTCTTTGAATTTAATGATTAAAAAAATCTATATTTTTGTGACAGTTGCCAATTGCCCAACCACCTTTATGTTTACTGCTTTTTGGTTTTTAGTGAAAATACCTAATATTTTTTAATGGTAAGCAGTGTGCTTGACAGAATTACAATTATATCATAGTATTTTTCGAATTTCAAAAAATTTTTTTTGCAGGTGTAAACATAAACCTACCTAGGGGTCTACCTTGCCCCATGTCCAAACAACAATTGATTGCATGTTCACCATTAATTCTATTTCATATCGTTTTAGCTACATAAAAATCTCTCTTGAAGTATTTAATGCCATAACTACCATTTGAATACAAGCCTAACCAGAACAAAATACCTGGTTAACTCTAGACAACCACTACAAAAAAAACATAACAGATGAAAATACAAAAACAATTGTTTTTTATCTAGATTCACCATTATAATCCCTACAGTATTTGCATTCACAATGAGTGACAATCTTAGAACTTAAACCTTTCAGCACACATTTCTTACTTTTTTGCTGTGAATCAATAACAACCGATTTTATTACCTTAACAAAAATATATCAGTCAACAATTTTGTATTCACCAACCAACGCTCTCCGACAAGAACATGAAAAAGTTCCACTCTACCCACTGTTAGTAGACCTTTTAACTAAGCCTTGACAAAAAATTATAGAAAAAATACATGACAGACGAGCTAACCTAAACCACAACCACAAAACTTCTGTAGATAAAAAAAATTACATCATTTTGTCCGATATCACCATAGATAAATATGGTATCGATGGGAACAGACAAAAAAATCACAAATACCTTTGCAGAATAAATACGTTGGCACTGGTTAGCACCCAACAAAGAAAATAATTGGTGAATAACGTAGAACTTTTAAATTAAAATAACTTTTAAAATTACAATAACTGCAATGGAACTGCGAAAAATATATATTATTTTATAAGCACAGCTGAAACCCAAAATAAAACAAAAACCGCAAACGACGCAAAAATAACTATAAACAAAACGTAACTTTAAAAACTGAAAGAAATGAACTGAACAGAACCCAAAACGAACAAAATGAACACAGACCAAGAACATGGAGATGCAGGGGTGTAACGATATATCAGCAAAAGGATTTATATCGGTATATCGAAGACCAAAATGATGATATATATCGATATTGAAAAATACAACACATCGTGAAATCCAAACGATAAAAATATGTCAGTTGACCAAATAGGGTATTTAACGCTTTTCTGAAAACTATCTTAAACGGTTGTTTGATACATTATAAACACATTGGCAATATATTTTTATAATATAACAAAAAGTATTACAGAAGAGAAATTGAAGTAAAATTATATGTTTTGAATTTATAT